TTTTCTTCACACCAAAAACTCATCTCTTCTCTCTTATACTCTTATACTCTCTCTTATACTCTTATACTCTCTTATTTATACTTTCTAATCCTTTCATCAAATGGCTTCCGGATCTGATTATGAAGAGCAAAACATATCTCCCGATCCTGAATTGAGTCCTCCTACTATGAGTCCTCCTACTATCAGTCCTCCTACCGAAGTTAATCCCGAATCCGGTGGCGACGAATCTGCACCAAGAGCTCCTAAACGGCCAAGATCCGATGTGTGGAATTTTTACGAGAAGATCGACGTCACCAAGGATGAACACGGTAGGATCCTCACCCAGAAGGCTAAGTGTGCTTTGTGCGGCAAGATTTTTCAAGCTCATCATAAGAGCGGCACCAACCACCTCAAACGCCATTTAGATAAACACAACAAAGGCCAGACTCCTCAAGGTGATATCCGACAATCTATGATTTCTCAATCCTCCTCTTCTGGTAGTCTCGGTAGTTGGAACTATGACGCTGCCAGAGCCAGGAAATGCGTAATCAGGTTTATCATTCTTAAAAACCTTCCTTTTAAATTAGTAGAAGATGATGAATTTGAAGATATGTTTAGAGATGGTTTTTATCCTGCATTTAAAAAAATTTCTCGTCAAACCTGTCAACGTGATATTTTAAAATATTATCAGCAAGAACAAGAAAAAATAATTTCTTATTTTAAAAATTTAAACTGTAAATTTTCTTTAACTTCTGATATTTGGACATCTAGAGCACAAACTGGATATTTATGTATCACAACACACTGGATTGATGAAAATTGGCAAATGTTTAAAAGAGTTGTTTCTTTTATTGCAATAGAAGAGTCACATACTGGTGCTAATGTTGCAAATTTAATAATTGAAGAACTTATGAACTTAGAAATTTCAGAAAGAATATTTTCTCTTTCACTAGATATGCAAGTAATAATAATGTAGCTATTGATTTTATCAGATCATCTTTATCATTGTCATGTCATGGTGATCTTTTTCAAATTAGGCACATCTGTCATATTTTAAATTTAATTGTTCAAAGTGTATTTACTGAAATTAAACCCATGATAGAAAGGGTTAGAACAGTTGCTTACATGCATAGTGCTTCTGAACAAAGACTTAAAAGATGGAAACAATTTTGTAAAAGAAAAAATGTAAAGCCTAGACTAATTCCAAAAGATGTTGACCATATGTGGAATTTCACATATGCAATGTTAAGTGTAGCAATAGAATATAAAGACATTATAACTGATTTTATAAACTATTATGCTTCTAGTTCTAGTTCTGATAGCACTTATGGAATAACTGAAGATGAATGGACAGTTATATGTAATTTAAATGAAATGTTACAAGTTTTTTATGATGCTACAATGTTATTATCTGGCTGTTATTATCCAACCATTACTTTAGCTGCTTTACAAATTTTAAATATTCAAATTTTTTTTGATAAATATCGTATGGATGCTACTTTTGGACCTATGATTTTTGAAATGGAGAGCAAATTTAATAAGTACTTTAGGCCTATTCCTCATATTTTTGGTTTGGGGGTTCTTATTGATCCATGCTTGAAGGATATTGGCCTTCGAAGTTTGTTACAGTCATTGTATGGTGGACAGGTTATAGACTTAGATGATGGAACCACCCTGAATGCTACTACTCATCATTTACTTATTAGAAATTATTTTCAAACCTTATATGATGAGTATGCAGCTAGACATGGTGTAGCTGCACAACAGTCCACAGCTTCGGTTTCTTCGAGCTCATCCCGAGCCCGAGGTAAAAGTGTAAGTTCTGATAGGTATGCAATGGTCGCTGAGCTAACTAGTGGATCTGGACTTGGATCGTCATCATCGGAGGTTTCTGAAATAGATGAATATTTTTCTGCTTCTTTAGTTAGATGTTAAGGAAATGCTTTAGATATTTTGCAATGGTGGAAAGTATATGGATCAGTTTCATATCCTATACTTTTCACCATGGTTCGTGACTTACTAACAGTGCAGGTTTCGACGGTAGCTTCGGAATCCGCCTTCAGCACAGCAGGTCGTTTGATCGACGATCACAGGACATGCTTGGATCCATATACTGTACAAGCGGTGATGTGCCTACAAGATTGGTGGAGGTACGAGAAGCGAACGCAAGGCATCGATCGGATGGCTGGAATTGAAGATAAATTTGAAGAATTGGGACTAGCAGATAGATATAAAGAATAGATTGTAGTTTTTATATCTTAGCTTAAAATTTGTAAAGAATTATTTTGGAAATAATTACAAATGATAGTGATATAGTCCGGAACCCGGCCCGGGGTACCCGGGTCCGGGTCCGGGTCCCGGTTTTGCCCGGCCTGGGCCCGGATTTCCGGACCGGGCCGGCCCGGATGGACAGGCCTAGATGAGATTGCGCCATGAGGATAAAACCTACTATGGTCTAAAAAATCACTATTTTTTGAAAATCGTTATTCTTCAATAATTACTAGGGGGGGGTTAGTCATCTAGAACTTAAAACTGGAACTGGGATAATTTGTGGGATATATTTTTAAGGTGTTAGTCACATAAAACTAGGAAATGAGATATTTTTTTATAGTGTTAGTCAAGTAGAACTTTTTAAGGTGTTAGTCACATAAAACTAGGAAATGAGATATTTTTTTATAGTGTTAGTCAAGTAGAACTTTTGTAGAACTAGAACTGTATTAATGAGATATTTTTTTATAGTGTTAGTCAAGTAGAACTTTTGTAGAACTAGAACTGTATTATTTTTTTAGTACGTTAGTCAAGTAGAATTCTACTAGAATTAGAATTGGGATAATTGGTCATAATTATCTCACAAATTATACTACCTATATATATAACCATAAGCTATTCTCTCTCAAATTATCCCACACATTGGAAAGAATACAATTGGGAAAAAAAGTGAAATGCCGCCTCCCTCCCTCTTGGTTACTTTCTCCGCCTAGAAAATTTCTCTGCTATTAAGTCAATCATCCGTTCATTTTTTCTGTCTTTACTTTGTTTTTGTGATGATTAGATCTTTTATTATTATCTTCAAGATGTATTACTTTATTGATAGCTTTTTGACGTTAAATTACTTTATTATTATTTGTTTGGTCTAATAAGTTTTCTCTCCACAACAGTGGTTTAGGTTAAGAATATAGTGTTGGTGGGTTAGTGCTAAAGATATGCGGGCTATTTATGTTTTTTTATAAGTTAGAAAGCAACTTTGCGATCACATTGATGATTAGATGTTGAATGGTTAATGGTGATATCTATTATTATTAAATCGGCTCAGTAAATTGATTGAGATATTTATAGTTCATTTGTCGATCATCTGTTTAGCGGCCATGGATGATTCCTGTGTATATTTCATTTTTTTGCTGATTTGGTTTCAGCGATCATGATGAGATTGGTCCAAAGGGTTAATGGCTGAAAAATGTTTATTTTTCTTTCTTTATGATGTTATGAGATTTGAACTTCGACATTTATGATCCTTCGCTAGAAGCTCCACGAAATGTTGCTGATGCAGACGATGACTCGAAGTAAAGAAGACGAGTTACAGACTCAACGAGCAGCTGTAGGAGCTTGGAGAAATTCTATGGCAGATGCCATGTGGGATGATAGAAATCATGTGGGATGATGAAAGTCGAGTCAATCTAGGGATTTAGATTTTTATTTATTTGTAAATTATTTTATTATTTGAGATGAATAGTGATGCTTTAGTGCATTATATTTTATAGTTATTACTAGAATTTTCTTATCAATATTATATTATTTTTAATATACAATTATTAACAATAGTAATTTATACCCACCATTACCCCCACCAAATTATCCTACCAAATTATGCAACTTCATAAAATTATCCATTATTATCCCACCAAATTATCCTACAAAATTATCTCACTTTAAGAATTACCCATCATTGTTCCACTAAATTATCCCAGTGTTAAAATATTATCCCACTTTATCAATTATCCCAGTTCTACTTAAAAAGTTCTAGGTGACTAACCCCTCCTAACATAATAGTAGAATCTTACACGGTCTAATCTCGTCCATTAAATTCGAAATGTGCGGCAAGGATGGAGGAATCAAAGACTTTCCAATTACCTCTTCATCGGCTAAATTCAAAATGTGCGGCAATGATCGAGGAATCAGAGATTCTCTAATTACCATCTAATTGAAGAGGATTCGAATCCTTGATATATAGTAATTCACTTCTGTGTTTGTTTTCAACGCTTTTCTATCCCAAATTTTGTTTTAGCATCTCAACCACGAACTGACTTGAAAATGATCATATTCTAGTCATATGTCATACGCTTACTTTTATCACCAAAACAATGTTATCATTTGTTTTAGCATCCCAAATTTGAAATTAGCCTAATAAATGTATATCCCAGTCTTTATTAAAAAAAAAAACTAAGTCCAAATTCCATGGCATTCATATTCCTTTTTTTGGGTGAGGGAAATGACTATTCATATTCTTATATCTGATACAAATTCAAAAGTAAAATTCTAACACTATGCGTATGTCTGATTATTATCCATTTTTAAACTCTAGCACACCAGCATTTTTATCTTGAGAATATGAATGTTCAATATGAACATTTTTACTATAACTTATCAATAAAAACAATTTAGAAGCTTAGTTGAATATAAGTTTTTTTAATTCTAAAAATTAAAATTTTTCATTTTCATTTCTAAAATTCTAGATTTTGAATTTTGATTTTATATTAGATTTACAGTTAGAAGCATAAATAGAAAAAAAAAACATTAAAGTTTTGATAGATAAATTAGCATACTATACTGCATCAAAAAATATTTTAGTCCACATATTGCTCCCACAATTTGGAAAAATTTATAGCCAAAATAATATAAAAAGGTATAAATGCAAAATTGACTTGAAAACTAACTCAGAATTATCGTCATAAGATCCGCTACGGACTTTTTGACCCAGCATCCGGATTTCTGAGAAATCAAACTTGTCGGCGATCCTTCCATGAGGTTTCAAGTCCCGTCCTCTCCCATCAAAACCAAACCGTGACGCTCAGCTCATTACTCTGTGGGCCCCACTCCAGCCCGCTGGGATCTGGTTTCCCCCCTCCTTTCTCTTCGGCCGACCTATATATAACGGGCTCCTCTCTCTTTCTCTCTCTTCGCCCACCGCTCTCCAGATTGAGGTTCTCTCTCTCTCTCTCTCGATGAAGAATTAGTTTTTTTTGGGCAATTTCTTTTTTACTATCTTTTAAATTCATGTAATTCTTGTAATCTTTGGTGAAATTAGTTTCAAGTAGCTATAATTTCCCCCTATTTTTAGTCATATAGGATCCATCTGCTCGTTATTTTCTTGCTTCTTCTTTTAGAATTTTGTTCTAATTTTCTGCATCTCGATAATTTCTCGCTCACTTATTATAATAGCTCAACCATTGCACAAAATTTCCACCCAATTCAATTGTAGTTGCCCAATTTGAGCCCTAAAGATCTGAGTTTTAGTTTTTTCGATTTGACACCTGAGCGTTATAAGCTTTAACTTGATCTTTTGATCCATTTTCGTTTTCATGCATCCCTCTGAAAACATACGCCGCTCTTTCCCCTCTTGATTAGTGATTTTACCTTTCCTCAAATAGAGGATTAGGTTGCTTCACAAGTTTAAGGCTGGTCGGAACTAGATTAACAATAAACAAAATAGTTTAATTGGGTATGCTTCAGATAAATCTTCACATTTCACATGAAACCCTTGTATGGTAGAGTAACTAGCAGTTACAGATAATGTCTCTATGTATTCTCCACATTATATTCATATCTAGGCATTAGCGGATACACCATGCGTACATTAGGGGGGGTCATGTGCCCCACTCATGACCTCTATCATTAGAGGATGCATCTGAGTTTCTACTCAATCTAAATTCTCTTAATCCACTTCTTATTTAGATGTTCGCCAATAACAATCTGAAATTTTTGCTTGAACCCAGGTTTTCCTTTTACCGCCACCACCATCATCAGTATGGCCACTTCCACGTCACTGTCATATCTGCCATTTCTACTCCACGGCATCACATTTTTCTCTTAAATGTTCAGACCCTGACCATAGCCTCCTTCGAAACCACATCCATTTCATCAAACTCTTCCATATCCAATATGGCGGTCAACATCTTCTTCGCCGGAAGAGCAGTTCCTTTTAGAAACAAAAAGAATCATCCCCAATCCAACTTCAAATTCATAAATTCTCCATTTTCTTCCCCATCATAATTTACTATCACCTCTCATCACCATGAACCACCATTTCTCTCTCTTCACTAGCATTACTTCCTCATCCAGTCAAAACTTCATTGAGACTATCGAATAGTGGTAAAATAAATTTACCAGGATCTGCTTCAACTAAATCTTCTTTTTGCTTATTTTATCCTAATACTGCATACGGGTTTTCTTTGTTCTTCAGAAGGTATAGAGTGTGTAGACCTTAGGCCCCGTTTGGCAAAGGGTTAATGAAGAGGGGTTAAAGAGAAGGATTAATGTACTTAGCCCATTTGATAATCCGAAGGACTAAATTATTAACCCGTTAAATAAGTTTATTTTAGCCCTTATGATCAGTTTTAGTGTTTGGGAATAACAATGATTTTGACTATTTTCTTTATAATTAGAAGGGTTAACTCTTATTCCATCTAAATAGGAGTATTAGTAAACCCCTCATTTTGAGGGGTTAACTCATTTTAACCCCTCTAGAGGGGTTAACTTAACCCTTCTATATTTTTTATGTTTGGCAAATTATGGAGGGTTAACTCACTTTAACTCTTATATAGATTTGTTGTGTTTGGCAGGTTAAGAAGGGGTTAAGTCTCCTTAACCCCTCACTTAACCCTTTGCCAAACGGTACCTTAAAGAACATGTAAACTAATTGGTTTTAGCTGTTGATTATGACTCTTTCCTTATTATTGTGCATATAATACAACAAGCATCCTAATCTCTTACATGTTTATTTTATGCAGTGTAACCAGCTTTCACTTATTTGGCATGTGTTTCTGTGTCAGTGGGTCATGATCACAACTCTTTCTACCTATTCAATTGAGTGTGATGCAATTAAGTAACTTCAAGGAAAACTGACCATTGGAAATATTTAGATCTGATTTGAGAAGCAAAAATAGGCCTTACCTGTTACGTGTACAAATTTTCCAATATGAGCAGTTTTGCAGATAGTGAAAGCAAATCTGCTAATGTAAATGGAAAAAGGATGGAGGATGATGAGCACTTCACTTCAAAGAAACCGAGACACCGGCCATTGACTACACTGAGGATACTTAGGGGTATACTATGTCTAGTGATATATCTTTCGACTGCATTTATGATGTTAGTTTACTGGGCACCTTTGACAACTCTTGTGGTGCGGCTTTTCAGTGTGCACTATAGCCGGAAAGCGACCTCTCTTGTGTTCGGGGCTTGGCTATCTATGTGGCCTTTCTTATTCGAGAAAATTAACAAGACCACGGTGATTTTCTCTGGAGAAAGTGTGCCTAGAGAAGGACGGGTGTTACTTTTGGCTAACCACAGAACAGAGGTTGACTGGATGTATTTGTGGAATCTTGCACTAAGGAAAGGTCAATTGGGTTATATTAAGTATGTCCTGAAAAGAAGTTTGATGAAACTCCCAATATTTAACTGGGGTTTCCACATTTTTGAGTTTATTTCGGTTGAGAGAAAGTGGGAAGTTGATGAATCAATCATGCGGAGCAAGCTTTCAACCTTCAGGGATAGTCAAGATTCTCTGTGGCTTGCAGTTTTCCCAGAGGGAACCGATTATACGTAATATATTCTCTCTCACCTTCAGTATCCTATACAATATTAGGAATGCCTGTATCATTTTTTCTCATAAGCTAAAGAAATATCAATTATCCTTAAAAGTGCTTATTTGTTCATAAGGCTTAGTCTCAAGATGCTTTTTTGAAAAGTTCTTTTTTATCAGTTACAGTACTTACATACACGGAGAGGAGTATTCTCTTTACTTTTTTAGTTATACAAGTTACACTAATCATAGGAGAAAACTTAAGAATATTGATTCTTCTTATGCTTGCTCAGCATCTTAACTGATAAATGTATGTCTTCCACAAATGACTATCATTTTCTTTCTCTATATCTCAGTGAAGAGAAGTGCGTGAGAAGCCAGCAGTTTGCAGCTGAGAATGGCTTGCCAATCTTGAAAAATGTGCTCCTTCCTAAAACAAGGGGCTTTTATGCTTGTGTGGAAGCTTTGAGGAATTCTTTAGATGCAGGTTACCTTACTCTTCATCTTGTTTTAGTGAATGCTAGTATTACCAAACTATATCCATTTTTAATTGAATATGTTGCCAAACTTGCAATTAGAGTCTTTACCATTAAAAATCCTGCAACTAATGACGAGACCTGCAACTAATGACAAGACCGCTAAATGTGTTATTGTTAATGTACTTGGAAAAGTTATGGTTTCCCAAAGTGAAAAGTTTTGCCATCTTGAAATTGCTGTAGAACATGAGAGTCCCTCATAATGTCATTTTTTTAGGATTGTTACATCAAAACCACCTTTACTTTTACCCAAATTGATACTTACCACCTTTAAAGTTTTTTTGTTGTTGTAGACCACATTTACTTGCTAATATGTTTGCAATGTCACACCTAAACTAGTTTTCAGCCAAAAAATACGTGAAATGACCATTTACCCTCACTATTTTTTTGTTTTTTCATCTCCTTCCTCACAAACCCTAACCCTATCCTCCTTATCCTCTTCTCCCCGTCTTCCCTCTCCCTCCTCCCCTAACTCACCTTCCCCTCTCTCTCGTCCTCCCTCTTCCTCCCCGACCTCCCACTCTCCCCTTCCAAGTGGAACTAGGATTAGGGTTAGGGTTTGGGGGAGGTGGTGGCCATGGCTTAGGGTTAGGGTTTTGGGAGAGGTGGCCGTCATGGGTTAGGGTTAGGGTTTTGAGGAAGGTGACGGCCATGGGTTGGGACTAGGGTTAGGGTTTGTAGAAGAGGAGGATGGAGGAGGTAAGGGTTAGGGTTTGTAGAAGAGGAGGATGGAGGAGGCAAGTGTTAGGGTTAGGGGTTGAAAGGAAGAAGATGAGGGTAAAATGGGAATATCTCATTTTTCGTAGGTGAGGAGTAAAAAAAGGTGTGACATTGCAAACATGTTAGCAAGTAAATGTGGTTTACATTAAAAAAAACTTTAAAGGTGGTAAATATCAATTTGGGCAAAAGTAAATGTGGTTTTGATGTAAAAAACTTTTTTTTTTTTCAAGTTTGCTTATAACCAAAAAGTACTGTCTTCTTTGCGAAAAAGGCTGAGCATTGACGCAATAAGGCTAGTCTTTCTTGGTGTAATCGTTCACTTGTCCCCTCATCTTGAAGGTCCCTATATAGCTTTGTTTGCATTAATTGTGTCATCAGACAGCTATACCTGGCTAATATGCATACCAGAGTTAGCATAGGTTGGTTGTCATCTGCAATTTGTAACATATTATATACAAATATTTCATATGCAAACCGTGCTGGATGAAAATTTAAGATAATTTGCATGAAGCAGTTTTGTAGGTTTCCATAGAGCTGTGGACAGGTCACAAGTCACAAGACTGACAACCTAACAATATACAACCCAAATATAAGTTTCTGATATATATGTGTTCATGTCTATATTTCTTCAAGTCCTCTTTATTGTGAGTAGATCAGGTTCGGGATGTTAAAAGAAATACAATATCCTCCTTTTCTAGTGTCTCTCCAACACTTGTTTTAGTGAGTTCTACCATAAAAAAGTGAGTGCTTTACTTAAGTGGAGCAGTTTCGTCTCAAAGATCAAACCTCGCTAAAATATTACTTCTAACTAAGACTTACCTTGGTTTCTTCTTACGAATCATTATGAATTTGGGTGGTTCTTTTGTTTAGTAGAAATCTATGATCATCTTTTATGCTTTCTATTTGAAGATAATGGATATTGTAAGCGAGTCATGTTTTATAGTGCTAGGAACTGACATGGCAGCTTAGATAAAAGCTAGTTAGTACAATGTATGTACACATGTTACTCTGTTGTTGCATTGTCTATTGCTGGATTGTATTTGGATTTAGCCACCATCAGAACATGGTCAATATGTTTCCCAAGTGTATTCTTTGCACCCAAGTCTGGTAATATAAGATTAGATACGTATCAGTGACTGGCCTTTTTGATATCCGTGGTGAGCGAGGGACATGACAATGTTTTAACAGTTAGGTTCTTTGCTTTTGTTTGGGCAGCTCATCTAGTTTGGTACTGAACTTATCAAGTGCTTGCCTACTGGCTAACTAGGAGGCACCAAGATGTTCGTTTCAGATGGTGGGCACAAAACCCTTGTTTGATTATGGAAACTGAGTGGGGGTGGGTGCATTTATTATAAGCCTGGTCCTCCAATGTGTCACCTCCATCCAGATTTGACCTTCTAATAGTCGATACATCTAATGTCAGAAATATAATTTTTGGACGAGTTATTTAGTAAGAAAACATGGTGATCCATGGCTTTGTGAATCGACCATATCACTTCTTGCATGTCCATGTTTAACTTATCAAGGTTTTCCTTTCTTGAGCTCTGCAGTAAGATATATTACTAATATCTGATTGCATGGTACAAAAACGATCTTCAAATATAACTAGAGAGAGAAATAATTATAAACTTAACTAAAGGCAAAAGTGTTTATTTAAACTGGTTTGCTTTACAAGCAATCGATATCTGTGTGGGAATTTCCTGCAAGTACACCCTGCCATCTGCATTCTCTATGCACATACACAAGTTTTCAAAAGTTGTATGTTCCTTTCTGCTTGTGACTCCAGTTTCTGAATATTTTGCAGTTTATGATCTAACTATTGCATACAAGCACCGGTGTCCAAACTTTATTGATAATGCTTTTGGCGTTGATCCTTCGGAAGTTCATATTCATGTCCAGAGAATCCCGCTCCAGGATGTTCCATCTACTGAAAATGAGGCTGCTGCTTGGTTAATTGAAAGGTTCAGGCTCAAAGATGAGCTACTCTCTGATTTCAATTCTCAGGGTTATTTCCCCAGTCAACTGAATGAAGGAGATTTGTCTACAGTGGAATGCTTATTTAAGCTTTCGGCAATAATATCCTCGACCTGCTTGTTTATATACCTTACCCTTTTCTCGTCAGTGTGGTTCAAAATATATGTAGCTCTGAGCAGTGCCTACCTATCTTTTGCAACCTATTTTGGTGTATATCCTTCCCCAGTCTTGGGTTCTGTTAAGACCTTGTTTTTTGGCAAGAAAAACTTGTAATGATAGGAGAATCATGTGATTATGTATTTGATCATGTTCTTAACTTCTTTTATTCCTCCTAAAGTTTAGCAATACTCAATGAATTATCTTTTCGATCCATAAAAGGTATGTTGCTCATCTCTTAATGCTTTTGTGTGTATTGTTGAGAATAGTGTGTTCCTGATTGCTTGCCGTGCAATATGACATTATCAACCCATACATGCATGAAGACCAAAGATGCACGAATACAAAATAAGAAATTCATACAAAATAACTGTTTGTTTGGACGCATGCTATCAGAGTTGCAAAATTTTACTTTATCAAGTTGTGAAATTTGAAAATGTAAGATTTAGGTTTTGACTTGGATTAGAATTTGTGTTATCATTATATTTTGGTAAATTTAATTTTTGTAAATTTGTAAAATTACTTGCCAAACAGATTTTTTAGATTTGAACTTTAATATGTGTTGATAATTAGATATTTCCTGGTATTCATAGTAATCCAAAAGCTTTCGTTATATTAAGATATTTTTTTATTGAGAAAAAAATACAGAAGAAACTCTACCTAGATCATCATGAAACGACAATTCCTGCGCTTCCAGCTCTTTTTCTCACTTCCCTCAACAATTTTGCAAATTGCATTTGAGAACGACGAAAGTTGAGGTTTACTGTGGACCAACAATGCAAAAGTAGAAGTTTATAGCAACTAATATGTAACATGGCAAATACATATGGGTGAATCTGAAAAAATTGCATACGAAGTGGAAGGATACCGATCGCTTATATTCACTCCAATCCGCCGCGCGCAGCGCTGCTGCTGACCGATTCCTCATCCCGCATCACGGCGGCAGTTAATCATGGGTCTCCTCAAATCCCAACAGAATCACAGTTCAAAAGTTTTTATCAATCCCAATTTCCCAAAAAAACACCAAAAAAAAAAAAAAAAAAAAATTCAAGAACATCATCATCATCATCTCACTCTTCGATAGTTCTTCGTTCGTGAGAGAATTAGGGAATGGCTCGATCGAGCGCCGACGATCTTGACCTGAAGCGGGCGTGCGAGGTGGCGATCGAGGGCACGAAGCACAAGGTTTTCCTCTCGATTCGCGTCGCCAAGAGCCGCGGCGTCTGGGGCAAGGCCGGCAAGCTCGGTCGTCAGATGGCCAAGCCTCGCGTCCTTGCAATTACAAGTAAAATCCCAATTGCTTGTTTCTGTGTTTTCATCGCATTGCATACAATGTGTATGTGAAAATTCCTCAACCAATGATATCAATTGAAGTTAATTCCGCATTTCTTGATTTTTTTAAAAACGAAATGTTGTATTAAATAAATTTGTTAGTGCAGCCAAATCAAAGGGCCCGAGGACTAAAGCCTTTCTTCGTGTACTGAAGTACTCTTCTGGAGGAGTTCTTGAGGTAACTTATCGTATAGATACATTTGCTATGACAGTTGATCCTAAAGCGATGTGAATTAGTTTTAGTCAATTTCTTAACTCACTAGCCCTTTTGAACAGGAGCACAACCCTTGAATAGGTATGTACTAACTGTTTCCTTGACAATAATTTTGGTGGTTTTGTAGCCTGCGAAGCTTTACAAGCTTAAGCATCTTTCTAGGGTGGAAGTTGTGCAAAATGATCCAAGTGGATGTACATTTACTCTGGTAATTAATAATTAATTTGCCACAGTTTGTTTCATGAATTTTTGTGTCAAGGGTTTCCAACGGCTTCCTTAATTCATCTATGACAACTTAGCCTTTTCAGGTTTTGTTAACAATAATTAATCATTTGCTAAGTTCTATTGCATATTTTGACCTAGGGATTTGATAATCTTAGAAGCCAAAGTGTAGCTCCTCCTCAATGGACAATGCGTAATAAAGATGACAGGTAATCATTTGTAAAGTTATATGTTTGTTAAATAAAATTTATTTCTGTTGATCTCTTCTACATTTTTTCACTGATTTTGCATGTGAACCTAGGGTTGAGTGCTCAACCAAGTGGTCCACTAAAATTTCCCAAGTATAGCATGGTGTCTGGATTTAGTTGATTTTTTTTTTTCTTAATGAAGGAACCGAGTAATTCATAGCATTTTGAACTTATGCAAGGAGATACTTCCCCGCCTTCCGAAGGTTGTTGGTGTAGATGTTGTGGAGATGGCTCTTTGGGCAAAGGTGCACACCCCCCACCATCACATTTTGGAAGTGTGTTTTATCATTTTTGTATACACACACGCACGCACAAAGACATACTCTGATATGCAGCAGCAAAAAGGTTTTCATCTTATGTGTCAATTTAGTTACTAGTTCAAAATGCATTACATTCTATTTCTTAATTTAAATTCGGTGTAGAGTCACAAGATTGGAATATGTTATAAAAGAGGAAGTAACATCTCTTGTATCTCACATTTACTTAAAAAGAACTTTGAGAAGTGTAGTATCCTCATATATAGGTCAAAATACAACTATGTTTACATAAGTATGCGTGTGGAATGTGGTTAAAATATGATACAAGTATGTGGATATCACCAATCATTAAGAGCTTGCATTACAGATACACTATGTATATAGGACGATAATTAAATTATATTTATGTGTGTTAATTTATTTGATTTGTAAGGCCACAATGGTCTTTTATTTCTGTACTACTATATTCTATTAGTTGTTGCATACTGAGCAAGATGTCCTTTCAGTATAGTTAAATATTAGTCTGAAATTGTAGCCAAACAAATTACATCCATGATTTAGATCTATCTGAGGTTTTGTTATCTTCCCTTTGGAGGTCAAAAATCACTAAAATTTCATTCATACGATAGCTCAATTGTTCTGTATTTTTTTTAAAAGTAAATTTTTACAATCCTTTTTCTTTTGGTTTCCGGTTTCCCTACTGTGAACTCCTGGTTCCACTGTTGGGTCAGAGCATTAAAGTCCTAAGTTATGTTTCTTTTACTACTAGTCCCTCAAATTGGACTTAGATGTTGGAACATA